CGCCCCCCCCCTTCTCATAATGTTACTTGTTGATGCCTTTTCCTCCATGTCCTGCAAGTTCCCAAAATTCAACAAGCTGCCCTGTTTTGCAGTTTCCCAAAGCATCATTTTCTAACAAGTTTTGTGATGAGGCTTCTATGTTAAAGATTTGTTTTACCCTCTAAATAAATCCTGGCTGGCAAACTTGAAATGACATACTAGCAGAATACACATTCTCTACAAAATGCAAAGAAAAGGAGGAAAATAAAAATGTACGGTTCTCAGCCTGTCAAAACAGTTCCTGTGTTGCACCTGTATCACTACAGGCAAGTTTGTCCCACCAGGCTTGGTTTGAAATGTGAGCAAAATAATCTGTTGGGAAATAATACACAAACAATTTCTGATTATTAGTAGTTTTATTAGTCCTTTTTCCTTTCCCCAGGGTGCTTGGCTTTCTTTACTCTGATAACAATCAGAGTGTAATTTTCTTCATGTGTTTCATGGTTTTTTTGATAATTTAGAGTTCAGACTGTTCAAAAGACTTGTTGGTATTACTAGATTGTGCTTCTTGTAGAGCATTGCTTCCTGATTACAGAATCATAATTTGCCACAAGCTGAACCCTTCTCAAGAAAAAATAGTTTTCAGATTAAAAATGGAAGATCAAAGGATAAAAGATACTGGTTTCTGTAACTCCACATATACTTGAGATTGTATAGCCTTCTGTACGCTTACTTCATAAATAGACTGAAGATCTAGATCTAACTTACCTGCTTTAGCAGAATGATTGAGGATTTTAATGAACATAGTTTTATTTTATGTTAAGTAGGATTGGTCAGAGGAGCCATTCTGTTAAGCCAAATGGTTCAATTCTAGTCTTAGTCTTTGAAGTTTGTATATTTGGTTGAGGTTAAAGTATCTTCCATTATACCTCTCATATGTTCTTCTAGAGCTGATGCTTTAGTAACATTTCTTATATTTTTCTAAAGAGCCCAGTTTCATTTTTCCTCATTAGTCTAAGACCCTTATTTAGCAAGCTATTGGAATCCATGTCTGTTTGACACATTGTGAGACTAAGCAACTCCAGTGACATTGTTGTAACACTTGATGAATTAAGACCTAAGTGAAATCCCACACTGTGATTTCTTTGTGTCTTTTTTTTTTAGTGTAGTGATCAGTACAACTGTCTGTAATCTATTTCTTTGAGGACCTCAGTGCATTTGAAGTAGTATGATGATGATATTAAATACTATTACTATTATAATTATTACGTAGTTGAGGAGGAAAATCAGTATTTGGCCAGTGGAAGAGGGCAGAGATAATTTGAAAAGATCTCTTACTTTTTATGTCTAAACCAATGTCTTATTCCTAAAAAGAATGAAGATATGTGATAAGAAGTTGAGGGTCTATTAAAATATACGATGAAAGTATACCACGGGTAGGAAATTGTTGTTCGGAGGTTGTTGTGGTGGAGTGAGAATGTTGTATTTATCATACAATTATACATACATACATAAATTTATCATACAATTATCATCCATACGCTAAGCAAGTAGCCAGGATCAAATCTCACTGCAGCCACCACAGATAATACTGAGATGCTGTTAAATAATGTAAAAGGCTTCAGGCAAAGGCACCTATTATACATTAAACATAATTTATATCTTAACAAAAGGTAAAAGGCATGTATTTAAAAAACTACCATTGAAATCACATTGAAATCTCATTGGTAACCCCAAGAAGTCATAGATTGCATTCCTTTGGAGGGCTGCATATGTTAGTTAACCCAGAAAATGTCCTTCTGGTTCCTGGTGTTGCTGCCAACTAAACGCTAAGATATATTTTGTAATCCACCATTTATTTCCTCGTGCCTTGCCATTTGGGCACTGATGTAAATTGGAGTAGGCTCTGGAAGTGTCCAGACGTCCCTGCCCTGGGCAGTCTAGGGCCATGCTTGCAGGTGGGCAGCGCATGTTGGCTTTGGCTCAGCACTGTGCTAGTGGAATTACAGGGCTTCCAGGCTGAACTCGAGTCTTGACTGGTCAACAGTGGTCGCAACAAAGCGGGTGCTTGACTTTCAGTACCTCTCTTCATAGAGAAACACCGAATTACACACTCCTGCTACAGCCACAGCTGCCACCCTGAATATGAATTGAATATGCTGTAAACGTAGTGCAAGTTACCAGGGTATGTTAGGTCCACTGTTTGAGAAGGTCTTTATGCACCGTGATTTGAGAGGCAGATGGCAAGAAATTTGGTTTGATCCTTTTGTTGAAACTGCTGTGCATGAAATGATGTGTTCCTGACATGCATATTGCAGCTCAAACTGTGTGCAGGTGCCAGCAGCCTTGTTACACTGGCAGTTGCACAGATCATTTTTGACCTTCTTCTCACTGTTGGTAATAGGACAGTGGGGTAGAGGGACCTCTGAGCTGAGCCAGTGCTGCTGCTGTTACGTGGAGTTCTTTACTTTTCTGTCTGTTCAGGGTTTTTCTCTTTGGAATTTTACTACGCAGGTTTGGGTTTTGTTTTCTTTTCCTCCTGAAGAGTCAAGTTAGAATTTATCTCTACTGTACCAACATATACCTTGTACTGATAGAGAGAAAATAAAAAAATTCATTTCAGAATGAAACAAAAAACTCTACAGAGAGAAAGAACAGGAATCAGCCAAGGAATTATATTCAATATAGATCCTAAAAATCTGTATGTTACTATGCTCAGAGTTTAGGATGCATAGATTCCACAGTAGTGACCAAACTGGGTCTAGGAGGAAGGGTGTGTGCTTGGGTGAGACAGAGTGGGAGAAATAGTACAAGATTTTTTCTGGAAGATCTCTTAAATGCAGTGTGTTACGAAAACCCCACTTCTAAAAAAATCACAAGTGTGCGTTGTAATGTATGGCTTGCATTTGTACAAAGGTTCAGAAAAGACAGTAGCTCTTTAAACAGTTCACTTTCAGAATAGTAATGTCCTCCTGCAGGGCTCAGCCTTCTACTTTGAATTCAGGGACACAGCTAGCGTGAACTTGAAGGATTGATTATTTTTTTGTTGTTGTTGTTGTTGTTGTTGTTGTTGTTGTTGTTGTTGTTGTCATTATTATTTTTACTGAGCCTGAGCATTGAAGAGATGAGGGCAACAGGAGAATCATTCCTCAGAACAAATTTGCTTTTTGGCTGTAATATTTTGCTGCTCACATGGACATGGTGTGGCAGGGAAAAAAATGGCTTCTGAAATACAGAAGCATAACCCAGAGGTTTTTATGATACACCCTGTACTACTACTTGTTGCTGTGGTGTACATTGGTGCCTTATTTGCAAAAGATATTTTGGAAGTCTTCTTTTGCTTACACAGGGAGAAGATCCAGTTCATCCGGACAGAGGGCACACCTGGGTTGGTGCGTTTATCCAGTGATGCAGACCTTGTCATGTTACTCAGGTAGGCACTGCTGCTTTCGATGCACGTATGGAATATGCTGTGGCAGCTGCTGAGGAGCCTTTCAGTGAGTAGTGTGTGCTGATTTAGTGACCTCATCACTTCCCCTTCAGTACTTGGACTTGCAGCTGGGAGAGCTACAACTCAAGGGTCAGATTTTTTTATCTTCATCATGTTCAGTTTCTAGATGGTATTTGCAAGCTTGGAGGTCACATTTTTTCATAACAGTGATGGAGCGTGATACTCTGTTTGAGGAAAGGCGAGTGCAACAGCCCTGTGTTTGCAATTTATATGGCTTTGCCCAGATGACCTTTTATTGTCCTGTTCCATCCAGCTCTGACATTTAGATAGGTGGTTACAGTTTAGACCTCTTAGCAAGAATGTACTTTCTGCTGCTTCAAGAATGCATCTGTTTAGTTCTGTGGTTTGGGAAATTTGTATTTGTGAACTTTCATACTTGAGATATGTTTTTGTTACTTAATGTCTTGCTGCCTCTTCACTGTGCTGTCAAGCATTGTCCTCATTAATAAAGGAAATACCGTTACAGAGTTCAAGAAATGGGAAGCTGCTTCTTTAATATTCTTCATTGAAGCAATTAACTCAAAAAATAAGGCAGATATTTTTTTTTTTCCCCTAGAATTAAACCCTTGTTTCTTCAGGTGCATTCTCATCCATTGTAGAAGTGCATCAAGAAATTCATGAGTACATTTAAAATTGAATCTAGTGAAATAGGATTGGCATTAGTAGTAGTATTTTGAGGTCAGGTTGCATAATGATAATCCTTTCAGGTCCCTAAATCTCTGAATTAATTACAGCTATAAAAATCTCATTTTAAAGCCACGCTGAAGCCTTTTTAAAATGAGAATATAGTTTCTTAAAAAACAGTCTTTTTGTTTTAATGTATAACGCATGGAGATGACACAGATTTTACACAGAAAAATTGGGCTTCAGCTATTTGTTTTTAAATAAAGACCGCATGAATGATTTTATCATTGCTCTTTGACCGGGTTTTATTCTCTCTAGTGTTCTGTTAACAGCAAAGACTGCAAATAATTCTTATAGTGGAAATAAGGCAAAATTTTGATTGCATTCTTTCTTTTGTAGAAAAGCAATAATCAGTATAACTAAATTTTTAAAGGGAAAAGCAGTAGCCAGTGCTTCCCTAGAGTAACTTTATTGTGTTCTTCAGATTTTATTTCTCTTAATCTACGTTTTTCCTCCCAAAATATCTAATTGAAAAACTTTGCTTGAGGATTTTCTTCCCGTTTTATTAATAATCTAATAGTAGCATTGCCCTGAGGACATATTATTGACAAAAAGTTATCTATGCATCCATTAGTTTCTTAAACTATTGGATGTTACTCCTCAAGACTGGACTGAGTTACTATGAGCTTATTGTGAGTAAATACTGGTGTAAAACCAAAGGTGGGCTAAAGTTAAAATAGTGGTGTACTGAGATGATGAAATGTCTTTTCTTATTTAGTCTCGGTGGATTTTTACTTTTAACAGTATCTTCCAGCAGGGTGTCATCATGACCCTTCTCTATGAAACCCTGAAAAAACTGCACTCCCATCATGATTCAGTCTTCCTGGGGCTCAGGACACCGGGGTTCTGTATCTAGCTTGGCTGGTTGGATGACCTCAGGGAAGACTGTGCCCCTTTCCATGCCTCTGTTTCTTCAGTTGGGGGGGAAATGATACAATTTTCCTGTAAAGCACTCTTGACATCTAGTAATAACTGGGTGGAATCACTATTTCTGATGTCTGTATTGCTTGGGAACACTGTACATTTTTTCACATGCTTCAGTAAATATTAAGTTGCAGCTAACTAAAAACAAACAAAGCCCTGTGTGTTCAGGGACTGAAGGAGGTACAGTGCATCACATTTTTAAAAATACTCTTAAGAATGGCATTATATTATGCTTCAAGTGTTAAGAAGAAAATATTTTTCAGTTTCTTCTTCTAAACATGTTGTTTGGTGTAAAACACAAATCATCATTTTAACTCTTAATTTAATCCAAGATTGAAATAGAGGTTCATATTTTATCACATTTTCAGCATCAAAATGTAACTTGGAGGAAAACAACGTATGGGCATGAATGTAAAAAGAACTGCCAGACAACACCCATTCCAAAAAAAAAATCTCATGCAAAAAAATTTTCTAGGTATTTGTTTGGTGAGCAAACTTAGTAAAAAACATCTTTCATTTGAACATTGCTTTCATGCGTTGAGCTCTATAGTAAAAGATTGGCTTGTGATTCTTTCTGTAGCTCAATTTTTGAAAATAAATTTTATGTATTATCTCAACAGTTTATTCCTGTGTTGTGTTTAACATCGAAAATACGCTTTCATATCAGATCCATTCTGATATTAGATACTCTGTCTCTTTTTGGATTTGCTTGTGTCAATTTTGGGAAAAGACTGAAATTTTAATATATATACAGACTCTGTGCACACAGATGCAGTGATTAGGCTGCAAAATGTTTATTGTTTTTCTCTTAAAAGTTGTGAAGCAATAATAGATGATGCATGAAATAACTCAACCTGAACAGACCAGATGTGATACCTGTTTCAGCAACACTGTTAGCATTAAAGATAAAATAAAGAAATAACTTATGCTAACAAGCTTACTGTTCAATAAACTCAACAAATTCAGATGTGATCCTTAATCCTGGAGGCTTAGAATGTTTGTCTCTGTTCCTGGTCTTTATGCAGTATTGCACATCTTTTTCCAGGAAAGTCTGCCTAAGGTTATTGACCCCTTTGTAATGAGAACACAAGTGGTTTGTTTTTTTTTTTTTTTTTAAAAAAAAGGGCAAATTTTAAAGCCTAATTAACTATATTTCAACCTTGAAAATAAATACCACATTATGTATAGCGATGTCCCACAAAGGTAGTAATTACTGCTTTGCAGTACTTCCAAGATCTGATTGAGGGAATGGCAATAAAATATTGTGTAGCACTCTAAGTGTGCATAGTGGAAATAGGCAACTCACTACCAAAGAAAGCAGGTTAATAACTAGAGATTTATTCCTAGAAAGTGAAAAATGCCATTAATTCAAATAAACATGTTATATCGCATTTGCTGCTTTTTACCAGCTTGTTTGAGGAGGAGATTATGTCATACGTGCCGCCACATGCCTTACTTCATCCTAGTTATTGCCAGTCCCCAAGAGGCTCGCCTGTGTCTTCGCCTCAGAACTCTCCAGGTAAGTTGCCCAGGCACAGCTTCTGTGAGGGCTGTACGAAACCATTTCTTATACGTGGTAAGGACCCATTCCAGATCAGTAAAGTCAGCAGAACACTCCTGCTGCCTTCGCAGAAGTCGGAGAGCAGAAACAATAGAAAAATTGTTTGACTGTATTTTTTTGTTTGCTTTCCAAATTGAAATTCACGGCAGCCTAAAGCCAAGAGCCTACTGATTGGGAACTACAACCTGTTCCCTTTTGCAGTTTCCAACTTTTAGAAGGGTAAAGTTACATGAGCTGATGCACCTTCTGAGTGGTCAGTGAGCTTGTCACTGCAGTACTTTCATTATGCAGTAGAGCCAGTCCCATAATTTAGTTTACATTATGCTGCATGTAACAACTTTCCACCTTTCTGAAGATCCAAGTTCTGTCGCTCCAGCAACAACAAAGATTTAGTCCTATTTTTGAGTGAAGTCAACAAGTGTGATTGCATTTGTCAAATTTGAACCTTTGCCTTGGGCTCACAAGATGTTCTGCCAGTAGAAAAGATCGGTGTATTTGCAACTTCAGAGGTTGTGATTTTGTTTGGACTTGGAAGACATGCAAACTTGTTTTTCCCTGATGTAAAACTACTAAGTGACTGCTCATGCCAGGATCCTGATGCCTAGAGAATTAAAAATGTGAGATCTAATAACTGTACATCAAAATGCCAGTGTTAGTGGGGCTGTGGGGCAATGAGTGATAATTTTATGTAAAGCTAGGTTGTTGTCCCTCAACATGAGTTCAAAAGATAGCATATTGCAGCTGTCTGGAAGTACACATGTCCGAATGGAATGAAATTGATACTTCACATATTAACTAAGCTGTGGATCAGAACTAAATCATTTCAAATATGACAAGCTCCATTTGACTTCTGAAGGCTAAATACAGCAATTTGAAGTTTATAGATGTCACTGTTCTTAGTTTTCTCAAGAAGATAATAGGTTAAGTAAAATAAAATCACTACACTAAATCAGAAGGGGCTTAAGGAGATTTCTACAAATTTTAGAACAAAAGTATAGATAAATGGAGAACGTTTGGGATGTAAGCAACTCCAGGTAGTTCCAGACAATTAGAAGATTTTACCAGGAAAAGTACTGTGATTTTTATTCCCAGTCCACAATCATAAAAGCTTTACCTTTTCAAGAAACCAGATTAAGACCATTCATAAACATGTCTGAGTGGTAGCTTTTCCTTCTGTTGGACATAGGACCTCTGTAGGACCTATTCGAAGAAACTATCTGAAGACCTTAATGATCTTATGGCATTCTGAAAAGCAACAAAATGCAATATTCACATGTATTGATACTTTGGATACATATATGGTTTAGATACAGCTGTTTCCCTTTGTTGAAAAGAAAGGAAGAATGAAGTCTGCATGTATGCATCTTGTTTCCAACTGTAAACCTGGCAGTTTTTTATGAGTAAAACCAGTTTTGGCCTTCAGAGTTATAGTTTCTTCATTACTAGTACATGCACCACAGCATGCTGGGCAGGGCTTCACTCCAACAAAGTCATTTCAAAATGCATTCAATCTTTAACATGTGATATTCTTATCTATGCCTCAAACAAGTAGCACATAGTAAAGGATGAACAGTGATGGTTTTAATCCCGTTCTCCTTAAAATTGTAACGTCTATTCTATTTCATAGAAAGTTATAGAGACACTATTGAATCTCCCCGTCAGTCTGCAAGTACGTGTGTTTATGTTGGTGTACAAATGGCTTTTTTTATGAGAAATTGTAAATAGCTCATCATTTCTGTGGAAGCTCTCTGTTTTTTCGTCAGCTAAACTGGCTGTGCTGCACTGTATGAGGTTGCATGTTAAGGATCAGTTGTTCAGGTCAGTCACAATCAGTTGTACTTTCTCTTTTGGGAAAGATGAATAGTCATGAAGCTACTCTTTATAAATCTGCTTTAGAATATAACCTCTTTGAAAATCAAATATGATTATCACATTGCTGGCATTTTTTTAGCTCTTCCATTAACATCTTTTGTTCCCAAAGCAGAAGTAATCACTATAATTGCCCAGGAATTTCTTGGCATATGCATCTGATTTGCAGTGACGACTTGTCATGTGCTGACAGAATAACATACTGCTGATTTCTGAATCGTGAAGTAATGTGTTACCAGATTTATGTTCTGTGGTATCTCTCAGCAAAAAATTCCTTCAGGGGTTAAGATTAAAGTATGCTTTTGTTGCATTTTTTTGGTGACTGCATTTTTTGTACCTACTTTGACCCAAAGCAAAATAAACAAAGGAGGGGGAAAAGACCAATAATTAAAAGGGTGTTTACAGTTTTAAGTTTCTGTAAGTTTACTAGAGTAATTAGCTGAGTGTACCATTAGAAACCCTTGGTGCTCTCAGTAAAAGAGGATAACCACTATAGATTAATCAGTGACCATGACTTATTTTTCCAGACGGGTCCTGCATGTTCCCCTTGGAACTCTGAGGGTTCCCTGACACTTTCTATTCCTCCCACACATCACTAAGCCTAGAACAAGTGGCAAGTATCTTTCTGGTCAGACAGGTCTTTTAAAGACCTGTAAATGGCATTCAGTGTTAATACCGATCTTGCTTGTTCTCTCTCTGATCTCTGCAGAGAGATCGACTCTGCAGCTTCTTCCAGCAGCCACTTCCGCAGGATGTGCTCGTAGCCTTTTCCGTCAGACCCATATGCTTTGTGGCTAAGCAAGCTGCTCTCTTTTCCCCTGGTCTCTGCCCACAAGCTGAATGGATGCACGTTCTCTCTCATTGATCACCTGAAATGTTACATTCTCATGCCTTCACCCACAGTAGCAATAAATGTTCCTGTATTGGCTTAGTTTCATACAGGGAGCCAAAAGAAAACTCACATAAGGAACTGATTGTCACTTAAAAGACAGAAGTCCACATATACATGCTTCTAAACTGTTCATTTGTATTTCCAGTGCATTATAGGCCTGCTAAATGACCACCAGTTGCAGATAAGTAGTTGGCAACCTATGTATGCTGTAGGGCATGAGAAATTTTAAACGTCCTCTGAGGTTTTTGTGGGGTATGTCTACACAGCCATGCAGGGGAGGAATTTAATGTTATAAAAACTACGGGTGAGAAGATGAATGTAAAAGGGCTAGGATTAACTGCCTCTTTGGCACACTGTCTTGCAATCAAATCAATTGAAGTAATTTATCCAGGGAGGCAGTGGAAGTTCTAATGGTTGTAATATTCAGAATAGATCAGACTAAACACCTAGTTTGTATATACTAGGCTTGTACATGCAGATGTGGGGGTATGCCATTTTTTTGGCATACAGATCTCATCTCTCCCCGCTTTTAAGAAACTGACCCTTGAAAACAATTTTTAAAAAATAAATTCAGTTAGATGACTATTGTGTATGTTCCTGCAGTCACATGTGAAAAGTTCCACAAGCTTAAATTTGGTAGTCTTTCCATTCTTCCAATGTTTTTCTTCCTTGTACTTCCCCAAGGAAAAACTTCTGCTAGGGAATTTCCAAAAGTCTTCCTTCTTCAGCTTGATGTATTCAACAGGGCACAGCAGAGTACGGTCTGTTTATGCTTCACTTCTGAGTTCTTGTTTTTCCTGATAATATTAAAACCAGAACAGAGCAGAACATTTATTGGATGAGCTATTTTAAAGGTTAGACGTAAAGTGTACTTGACAAACAAAAGTTAAGTCCTTCCAGTTGATTGTGCTGGCTTTTTAATCCATCTTTTGCATTGACCTGAATTTGCTCTTTTAAGACATACTTTAGAAAGATGATACTATTGGAAATGAGCAACCAAAACATCTTGGGTGCACAGCAGATTTGAAGATAGGCAGCTTTTACTCTTTATGAAGGTGACTAAACCAAACACATACCATGCCTTTTGCTCTTAAGGAGTCTTTTCAGTAGAGGATGGGACATTAATCAGTTCGTGTCACTACAGCTCATTCTTTGTTTATTCCTTCCTGCAGGTACTCAGCGTGCCAATGCCCGAGCTCCAGCTCCTTACAAAAGAGATTTTGAAGCCAAGCTGAGGAACTTTTACAGGAAGTTGGAGACTAAAGGATATGGACAAGGCCCAGGGAAATTGAAGTATGTTGAAGAATCTCATGAAACTGGATTTGTTTCTCAGGCAGCTTGCCTTGCCTTGCCTTGCATGTCTACAAGCTTTTTCCCATTAGAAGGAATGCAGATGTTATGGTTACCCTTGCACTTCTTGATATAAAGCCTGTCATAAAAGACTTAGTGCCAGCATGTGATTCATAGCAGAAGATGCAGCAAGTTCTGAGCACTTCTTTTCTATGTTTCCTCCAACTATATCTTCATACAAATAATATTACCAATATGGTGCCAAAAAGCACTTTGGGAAGAGGCATGCAGAACAGGAAGCATCTGAATTCTTCCATTATAGCAGTTGCTATGATATAACCAGTTATATTTTCTCATGTCTTTTTCCATTGAAAAAACTACAATTGTACATCATTGCCCGTATTGATATCACAGTCCTCTTCAGTAGAGAGGACTCATAAAATCAAATGTTACTAAATTCTAAGTATTGCCTTAAAAACCTACTAGTATTTTTACTTCGGCACTCTGAATGCTAGAGTGCTTGGAGTGAGGTCTTCCCTCCTTTGTTTATTTGGTAATCGTGTGATTACATACTGTTATGATAAGGATCATCATCATAAGATACTTTCATAATTTTGTAAATTACCAAGTCTTGTGCCACAGCTATCAAACTCTCATAGTTTGATGCTCTCATAGTAGCCATGAGGCACTAGAACTTTTTTTTAACCATTTCTTCTATCAGAATAGGGGGATAGGGCTTTTGTTTAGTTTTTATTTCCCCCAGCCAGTCACTTCTCACATTTTGCAGGAATTTGTGCAAAGCTCAGACTTCATCTATGTGAGCTTGTTAAAAGTTTTCCACAACTGAAATGGGATTAAAATCGTATTGTTCAGACAGTCTTAAGAGGCAGGGGTTGGACATTGTCTGTCTATAATGTAATGAAATCATAAACACTTGAAGTTTAACCTATGAAAGTTTTGTCATGAATGCTTGGGCAAATAGCTGGTAGAAGAGGATGGCTTTTGCTACCTGTAAGATCCATTATATTTCTTGCACCTTTTTTTCCTGACCTATTTGCCATCACACTGTGGATTTTTAAGCAGAACATCATCTTGATTTTTGAACAGTTGTTTTTTCTGGGTTCCTTTCCCAGGCATACACTGACCTGCTCCTCTTTAAACCAGGACCCCAGCACAACTTGCATACTGCCTGGGTCCTCTTGTTGCCCAGATACGTTGCCAGTTCCTGCCCTCTCTGCTTCTGTGTCCTCTGCAGGATAGCACAGTGCAACCCCTGACTGATCTCTGCACAAGTAGTAAGGCCAGGAACGGCTTTGCAACAGGCTGTATGGAGGGGGAAGCTGCCTCTCTGCAGGCAGCAGCAGCTCCCAGCTTCAGCCTGACTGACTGATCAAACGCACACATAAGGCAGTATTTGAATATAAAGCAAGCTAAGTTTCAGGAAACTAATTAAACAGAGTTTTTTGGCAGAAGATAAAATGTTTAAGTAAGGAGGATTCTTTCACCTCTTATTTTAGATCTTTATGACGCTTCCTCACTTTTCACAGTTTTTCTTTTAGAAGATACATTGTGTTTTCACATGTGATGCTTCAGTCTGGTTTTGGACAAATAATTGCCCTTCCTACTACACTTTTTGTCCTGTCACACTTACACTGGGCATAATGTAGGGATGTGTGATTCTGGAGTTACCATTCAGTGACTTTCCCACGGTTTTATCTTTTTTCTTGTTTTTTGATTGATTTTTACATAAAGAGTTAGGTTCTTGCTTACAGTAAGACTGATTTAGAGGCCCAGCCATAAAAATGCAAATGCCCACTTCAGAACCTTTCCCATTGAAGCCTTTAATTTAAGGAAGAACTAGAGAATTAAAAAAAAAAAAAAAACCCCAAAAAACCAAACCAGAAAAACCCCACTTCTTTGTACAAGAGACATTTTATTGAAATCTAGTAGATCCTCAAGGGAGATAGACTAACAGACAGAAGCTGCCTGATCTGGATCAAATTATCCAGCAGAAATGTTTATCTATGAAGTCATTCTGTTACCTTGCAGTGTAAATAGATGTTTCCAACTGTGGTTCACATTCACAGATTTCAAAATTATTTTGCTCTTCAGATTAATCATCCGGAGAGATCACTTGCTAGAAGATGCCTTTAACCAGATCATGGGCTACTCAAGAAAAGACCTGCAGAGAAATAAACTCTATGTCACATTTGTTGGGGAAGAAGGGTGAGTAGAACAGGGAAGTAAATGTGATCTCAAAACTCAGTGTGTCTTGCAGCTGCTGTTTCACCAAACTTCTTGTGGTCTAGAGTGCAAAGAGGAAGGATTACAGTCAGGAAATGCCACATACATAAGCCTAGAACATAACAGCTGTTCAAGATGACTTTTTAGGCATTGTGAAATGTAGCGTATCCTGCCTTTGCAGAAGTAATGCATGTGTTTATGTGAATTTTCACAATAGTTGGTGTGTGTTTCAGAATGTTGCTGGGAAAGCAAAGAAAAACCAAACAACTTTCTCGTGTTATTCATATTTCTTTTCTGTCAGTGCTGACATTATATCTCCAGTGCTTGTTAAAAGACAGCTGCCATTTGTTGGAGGGAGGGTACTTCAAGAGTAGGCTAGAGGCTCAGTCCTTAAATCAGCTCTTGTCTGCGGCAATGGGAACTGAAAGCCCTCAGTGCTACAGGAGGTGCTCACTGCATCTCCAGGCCAGGGCCTGTGTCACAAATAAAACCAAGTAGGCTGTTGCTAGTTGTCAAATAAACACAAATATTCCTGAAATTTCAAAGTCACTTCAGAGAATGCTCAGTCTGTGTCTAATGAAAGTCTAACGTGTTACAGGTTGCGAGATGTGCATTGCAAAGCAAGATGTGGTTAGATTTCCTTAGCAAGTGAAACTGGAGCAATGTACTGTTTGCCTCTTTCGTCTCTTGCTTTGTGCCCCCTTTGTCAGATCCTAAGCTTACTGCCTTAGGCACAAATATTTTTATTAATATATTTTCATGAATACATCTGTTAATACATTCAAAATTGTATTCCTTGATATTTAGGAAACTGCAGCACACAGCTCTTGGGCTGCTGTAGTGTGCATTATTGCCATGCAATGTGTGAGTCTTTAAAATAGCTAGGTTGTAATAGAAACATCTCATACAAGATTAGATAAAATTAATCTGCCTTTGAAAACCTCTAAATCCTGTTGTTTGTTGAAAGTTCACCCTGAAGTGCTTAGTGTTAATAAGGACTCACTGAAGTCTTAAAATAAAAAATGTTGACAGCTGAGAGCCAAGTGTGGACTTGTTCATATAAATAATATCACCATGCTGTCTGAGGAAAAACTCAGAACTGGAATGACAAGGCTGGTGCAGGATGAGATTACACTATATTGACAGAGCAGGGTGGAGATGCAGGAACGAGACCTGTCTTACACAGCCCTACCAGCCTTTACTTTCACAGCTACAACCTCAACTCAGATCTAAAAACGAAGGGGAAAATTTTAAAATCATATGCGAGAGAGAGATTGATCCAGATAGACTGTCTCCTTTCATCAGACGTCAGGCTTTTGCAATTCATCACTCAGTACAGCAAGATGAAGAGCGATCTGGAAGTGGGGGCGACACATCCTGGTCCTATTATATCCAGCTTTACACAAGATTCTCTTCTTAATGGAAAAGAATGAGTTAGTTAAGAGCAAAGTCAAATTAAAACGACGTCACTTCTCTATTTACAAATCTGTGTTTTGAATGAAGAAAGGATGTGTGCAAACAGTACTGTTTCATCAGAGATGGTGCAAGGATATGTATCACATCAAACTATTCATTTGGCTAGGTGTAGAAAGACAGGTCAGGGTGGAGGAGAGGAGGATGATGAGGAGGAGGAATACTGAACGTTAATTGTTTCCTATTTGCTCCTCCTTTTCCTTTTTTAAGTTTTTAAGTGGGAGTTTGCTCTTGCATTTCTTTTCTTCTCAGTAAAGAGGTGTAAGTCTTGAAGTAATAGGTAATGAATTCTTCACAAATTAAAACATCTTAGTAACTATTGATTTATTAGTGTATAAATTAGTAAGTGGGGCAACTCAGATATAGTTATTGCTGTTCCTGTGATTTTTATCATAAGTCTCATAATGTTTGGTATCATCCTTGAACCTTCAATATCTACAGTCATGCAGTTGTGATGCTAGTTTAAGGTTTTTACATTCTTACTTCATGTGGTGATAAATGAAGCAAATTTTGATACCAAGGGTATGGTTCCTTAAAGTTATTTTCCCTAAGTTCTATTAACTATTAGCAGAAGCTGCTTTGCATTTACAAGTGGTAAATCTGAAGTATTAATGGTGCTTCCTAGGAGACATGAGTCATGTTGCCAACAACATACTACTCTACTCCTGAATGCCCAAATACCCCACAGTTGCAGCTGTTGTGTGGTTGCATACCTCTTGTATGAAGTTTTCTCACCCTTGTGCCAAGCCTTTAATTGTGGGATAAATCTGACTGGCAGTGCAGGACTCTCATGATTGATTTATTTAACATGACTCACAGTAACTCTCCATACAAAAGGAGCTGTATGAAATGGCTGGTAGTCAAGCTCACAGTTTCTATGCTATCTTAAGATTTCATAGTGAATCTGATTATCCCAGAAGTTTGCAAGAGTATTCCAGACGACCCTTTACTTGATCCTGGTATTTGTGCCAAGATTAAGATTCAACAGTTGTCCATGATATCAAACCGTTTTGGTTTTTTTCTGCAATTTGAGGATGGAATCTGCCCTTCTTGCCAGGGTAAGGATCTGTTTCAGTACTTCACTTCTGAAGCTTAACAGAAACGAAGTGCTTCCAAATGACTGAAGGGAAAATATTTTTTTTATTCAAGAGAGGAAAGAGGCTTTGTCCTCAACCTATAATGGTACTTTCCTGACAACTTCATCCTCAAAAACAACTCTCATCTATGTTTGTCTTCTGTAAAAGTTCATGAGCCAAAACATTAGTAGCAGGAAGCTGACCACCTCTGTGATACTTCTGTCTGTGCATTGCCTTAGTACTAAAGCAAGACCTTCTTAAAAGTCACGTATGAAATCGCCAATCTATAGAAGATGTATCTTTGTATCTGTTTGTTAGGATTTTAATAATCTCTGTTCCCCACAGGAAAATCCCTCGTTTTCTGTTTTCCAACTCTACAAGAGCATTAACTTCACACTTACCTCGTTTTGCTGGTGACCTGCAGCATAACATCAAAATTCAGTCTCAGTGCTTTGTCAGCAGTGAGTTTGTTTATGATTCAGGAAGAAGGGGTTATTTAGATTCCTTGTTCATTAGTACTGGAATCTTGAAATAGCAAAAAAAAAAAAAAACCAAAGGAAATGCACTCTCCAAAAGACATTTAAATGCACTCAAGTTTGGAAGACAGACAAGAAATTTTAGACCAAGAAAGATAAATCACTGAAGTAATCTCATATCATATTGCTAGGGAAAATAGAAATATTATCCTTCAAATTGTGCTATTGCTGCAGGTCTGCAAAGACAAAATATGACCGTTGTTCATTTTCATTCTTAATTTGTCAGATGCAGATAGGTCTAGTGTTGGCTCTTTTCATGTTTCCTGCTCCCCTCCTCCCCCAATTATTTGGTAATATTCCTGTGGTAAAGAGGCCATTACAGCTGGAGCCAAAAGTTTTGGTGAGAGCAGCCCGCATAGAGTACTTCAGTCCTCCAAGCCATTCCATTTCAGAATAGCCTTGCGAGACTTCACGTACCTTGGCATTAAGCAATCTGCAGGATAAGGGTTCTGGTTAAAATTTTGTAAGATTTTAATTAAAATGTAGTGCAAGGACTATAGATTCAAAAAAAGCATTTCTTTACACACAGTGAACACTTTATAGTAATGTCAAGTTTCTCTCTAAAGGTTGGACTACAGTGGACCTTCACGAGAGTTTTTTTTCCTGGTGTCTAGAGAGCTCTTCAATCCATATTATGGTTTGTTTGAATATTCGGCCAATGATACCTATACAGTACAAATAAGTCCCATGTCTGCTTTTGTAGACAATCACCATGAGTGGTAAGAATTATTTTTCTTTTTGTTTTTCAGAAATGTTTTCTGTTGTTCCCACTTGTAGACAACTGCTCATATCTGCTCAGACATACAACATAGAATCTGATATTTTTAACCAGCAGCAAAATAATTGCATTTCTTTAGACTTTCCTGGTTTTGTTTTCTCTTGTGGTTTTAAATGTTCTTATTTCTCACAAGGTCAGCAAAACTATGATTTGGAACGTGTACCGTGGGATTGTCTCACAACACAACTCTCTGCATTTCTTGCACTTGAGCAGTCATTCCATGAAAGCAATATTAGCCTCTTTTGCATTTAAAAAAAATGAATGAAACATTGGCTTTTTTACAACGAAGGAGATTAAGGCAGATTTCAAACAGGTGTTACTGTATGTAATTTGTTTGAGTCTTCCTAAATACAGAGGTCTCCTCAGTGGAGAAAAACCAACATATCTATTGGAAGGAAATCTGTGGAGGTATCTTAATTGGGGGTTGGGGGAAAGACTGCTAATTACGTAGCTCTTAAGCAAAGTCTGTACATACACACGTACTTCTAAAATAGTTATCAAGGATTTTTACATAATCCCATTTTCACAATTATAAGCCAGTTTAAATCACCCTCCATTATTTAAGCCGTGCCATCACCGTAAGTCTGTAAAGCTGTGCTGTGAATACTAATAGAGAATTCTGTTGTGTAGGTATTTAGATTACAGTAATAATGGAATGAATGACAACTGCTCATCTGTGTAGAACAGATATGTACTGAGTTGTTATTTATTGGAAGCTGGTTATGAAGAATGAATATCAGAAAGGAATCACATTACTAGTTTTAAAAATTAATAGAAAATTAAATGGTTGGCTGCATCCAGTTCAGTTAGTTGAAGCAACCTACCCGTTGAACTCCAATATTGCAGCTATAAATGGCATATGCTGTATTGGAAAAGCAGAACAGTCTGGCAAAAAGGGGAGAAAAAACCTTATGTGCTGTGCAGCTTCTGCCAACATTTTGTATTCATCCCTGGCTTCTGCAGGGCCAGACCAGAGACCTTGGGGGCGAGGGAGGCATGACCCTCTCTGTTTCTGGGAGTGCTGGTGCCAGTGACAGCACTGGTCTTGTACAGCCTCAGGGGGAATTCAGAAAATGCAGATGTGACAAGCAGTTATGCATGGAAGGAGAGGGCTCTGCATGTCACATCCTCATCTTGCAAACCCTGTGTACAGGCAGGTATAATAAAGCCCTAATCTTTCCAAGAAAAATGTTGCTGAGGATGCATAAACAGAAAGTTTAAGAAACATTATTTTCTTTGAAAAAGAACACTAGACTTGAATCTAGTTCCAGAGATATGGAGGAGTTTTCACAATGGATCTTTATTCTCATGGGAATATTTGCAAAGACCCTACTATTTCAAAGTTGCTGCCATCTGATCTCAAATCCGTCAAAGTCCCTTCCTTCCCCACCCCAACCCTCCATACCCACCTGACAAAATGAAGATAATAGGAAAAGAAACAGAGAAAGGAGAGGAGGAGATCATTTAGATCCCATTGCCATAGGGCTGGAGGGCACTGCAGTACTTGAAATGCTTCCAGCCGCTGTTCGTGAACGTATATATAGAACTCCATAATCACCAGTCAGAAGAGGGAGCAAGGAGCCACTGTAAACAAAGACAGCAAGAACTGTCAGCCTGGGAAAGGGCCATGTTACTGGCCTTGCAGTAACATGTAAACAACTTAATCTTATATGGGCTGTGTGAAGAAAATAGACAGTGGTTGTCATTTTGGAAGATATGGTTTTATAAAGAGGCTAGTCTGGCAGGGGTTGATTGGGTTAATACGGATTTGACATTTTTGAGAAGTTGCAACTTAGGTATCTGAGGGATTTTCCACACCCTGCAGGCTTGCATTTTTTCTGTGCCTTACTGAGAATGTAAAAGAAACACAAGAAAAAAAAAATAAAAACAAACCCAAAACAAACCCCACAATTTAGACATAGCTATCTGATTTTAAAATGCTCTTTGGAAATATATGTAAGTTTTGATGACAGAGCGGCGTACAAACCACAAAGTTTCAGTATAACAATTGTAACTCTTTCTCTTCCAGGTTCAGGTTTAGTGGTCGAATTCTTGGTCTTGCTCTGATACATCAGTATTTGCTAGATGCCTTTTTTACACGACCCTTTTATAAAGCCCTCCTCCGAATGTGAGTAGAATTGTTCTGTCTCCTTTTTTGTTTGGTTCCTTCCCCATGGACGATGCCATTTTGTGTATGGATAAATTATGATGTTTTATCATCAAAGAAGACAGGCCATTATTTATAATTTAATCATTTCATTTCAATCCAGGACTTTTTTTTAAAAGTTTACTTGTTTCTGCTTATGGTTATTAGCCAGTTACCTAATACCTCAGAATGTTGTTTCTGATGAGTATGAAAACCTCATGTTTTGTTTCAGCCATGTTATAAGCTTTCTTCTACAAAATCTTATATTTGAAGTTGTACAATGAAATGCTGTGGTTTTATTCCAGATATTAATAGAGTTCTTACTCATTTGTCTAATGACTCACAGGATAGGATATGAATCACTTCGTAACTGAGACTGCAAGAACCTTTCTCAGAGGTAGACTGATTGTTGGCAATCTCCATTTTGAGGAGCTTTACTTTGATATGCTTTAGACTTCATTTTCAGAACTACTACTCCTGTTCTGGCTGAAACAATAAGAGCTGCACTTGCTTAGCATGTCTGGAATTTAAGACCTAATGACCTAATGAAATTTTTTGTATAAAACATCATACATTCTAGTAGTATGGAGTAGTGCATCCATTCCTGTTGCATGTGTATTTGAAAAGGACCTAAATGCTAACAGAATCATTTTAATAAGAATGAGGACTTACCTCAGGTGGACTTTAATACTAATATTATGTGACTGCCAAATTAAGTTAATTGTTTAACTTGGTGGTTCTCTAAACAGTAAAATTAAAAATGATGGGGTGGCCACCTTTGTACACAGCCTAATTCATGCAACTTCCCCATCTAAGCCCTGGACCTCCGCTTCCTCAGAACTGATGAGCCATCCACGCTGCCTCTGCAGATGGGACATTGTTCCCAATCCATCAACTTTGATGTAGGGGCTGTTACTGGAGGATGTCACTTAAACTACATTTGAGCATCCACCTAAAGTACAGGGCTTTCTTCTGACTTTATACGGACCCAAGAATAGAAGCAGGCAGGGAACCCTGCAGCTGAAGAGCACCCTACTTAATGAATAGCCCCAGTGTCCTATTTCACAGAACAGGATTTAAGGAGTTAAGAAGAATGTCAGAAATTGCCACTATGGTATTAAATATTATTAACAGCTGACATGTTCAAAGCTTGGAGTAGTAACTGTTAAAGACAGCAAGGGGCAGTTGACTTACAGGTTAGATTTGTAAAAGCAGGACCAGGTACGGGGAAATACGGCAAAAAGTAAAAAGATGTGTCTGTGGTAAGCAAGGTATCTGAACAGACTTCTTTGCACAAGGAAGAGACGAGAGAGGTGGCAGTGTAGTCACATAAGCAAAAAGGATAGTAGCTACTTGTTATAAAAAATTATGATTTCTTTTATGATTTGAATTTTTTGTCTCTTCACTCTGTGTGTTTTCATAATTCCAAAATATTCTTCACAGGAAACATGGGACAGACTTACCATAAGCTTAAAAAACCATCTTGTGTTACACAGTAACTGCTACTACTAGACAAATAAACAGAGATTTGAAGTAGCGTCTTCTTTATTCTATTGATTTTTCTCTTGGCTCCCATTCTCAGTCTGTTTTTCAGGACTGTCCTGTCTGAGTTTAGTTACTCAGCACACGCTGCTGCTGTCATCTTCATTTGTGTGTTTTCTTCTTGTTTATATTAGACTCTGTGACCTGAGTGACCTGGAATATCTCGACGAGGAGTTTCACCAGAGTTTGCAGTGGATGAAAGACAATGACATACATGATATCCTAGATCTCACATTTACTGTAAATGAAGAAGTTTTTGGGCAGGTAAACAAGATTCTTAATTTAATTTCCTTTGTGTATTCTACTGCTAGATGAACATTTATTTGGACAAAAGAATGATTGTCAGTCCATGCTGCTTTGAACTTGTTTTTATAAAATTCTGGTTGCTGAAAACAATATCGAAATCTAAGGAGGATTTCTAATTTGTAACCGGTCAAATGTGTCTGTCTAGTTAAGGAGATTTTCTGGACACTATCTGAAATACCAAAATTTTGGATTGCTCTGCTGGAGGTAATTTACCTGAATTTAATTGCAGCAGAGTTAGTAGTCAAAGATATTACAACACCTTTGTTATGCTATTATTTAGAAGACTTCACTACTTTAATTGCTGTAAAGGTTGTTTCTTCTTCTCGGCTTATTCTTCATACTAAATATGGAGATTCTTCAGACTAAATGAGATTTTAAATAGGATTTTATCCAAAACAAGATTTTTTATATGTTCTCTTATTTCACATATTCCAGTTTGCTAAGTCAGTCTTGGCGAGTACTTTTGAGGAATTACTTCAATTTAAAAGCTTAAATTATTGTATTTCTTTCTTTTGTCTTTATACTACTGTGTTGTCACTTGGTCTTTTTTTTTTTTTCCCCCCTAAGATCACAGAACGGGAATTAAAACCAGGAGGTGCCAACATCCCAGTCACTGAAAAGAACAAGAAAGAATATATAGAAAGAATGGTGAAATGGAGAATTGAGAGAGGAGTTGTACAACAAACAGAAAGTCTAGTTCGTGGTTTCTATGAGGTAAAAAACTCCAAAATGAAATCTACTTTTTTCTGTTGTCCTCCCAAAATATTTTTCTTCTTATGTACATTTCCCAAGTACAGAGTCCCAAAAAGCAGTTATTTATATAATCAGAAGTGCCCTTACAGATATCTTGGGGAGAGGGGGAATCATTGTTAGTCATTGACTTAAACACTATGGTTCTGTATCTTCTTTAAAATGGAAGATACTATTGATCGCTATTTGTATGATTAGCAGTGAATGCTTGTTAAAGTGACCCATCTGTTTCTTCATTGGGCCTTTGAGTTTTTTTGTGCGCATGCCGTACTCAGTGTAACATGGTAGACTGAACATATTACAAGATATTTCTCTCCTGTTTTAACATGGACAATTAAATTGAATGTATTGAACTTAACTGGTCCTGAAATAATTCAATATTATTTGCCAATAAAATTCTCTCCCAGTCACTGTGATCCTCTAATGAAACTGAATGGAACTGCAGCATGAGAAAAAGAAGTCCATTTATTTGCCTTTTAAAAAGAAAAAAACACATTAATTCTTCCCATTCATGAGGGAAGTGTTACCTGATAAATGCCTTAGTAGCAGACGAGCCTTTTATAGGGAGGCAAAAATCAATAAATCAAAAAGAAATGCTGCTATGTGTTTTTATTCCCTTTCACAGGTGGTTGATGCAAGGCTTGTGTCTGTGTTCGATGCCAGAGAACTGGAACTGGTTATAGCTGGAACAGCAGAAATTGACTTGAGTGATTGGAGAAATAATACAGAATACAGAGGAGGTAACCTTAATTTTGAGTTGTTCACTGACAGTGTTGGGGGGCCTGGAACTACCCAGTTTCTAAGACACTAAAGAACCATCCCCTGACATACATCTTTAGTATCTCTCAATTTCTGTGGTTAAGTTTGTGGTAGGGGAAGATAATTTGTCCATTTTAGTTTGCTTCATTGCTTCCCCATGCAGCTATTCCCTTACTATTTTTGTCTGGACAGCATAACAGAGCAGTCTTCTCCGCAGAAAGTACTGTGCTCACCTGCACGCTAGTAGAGTGCCATGCAGACACTGAAGACAAATGGAAATGGTAACCGTTCTTAGTAGGATCTGCCTCTTTTCCACTCTCAAAGACAATAGGAAACTAGAAGTAATTCCAGCGACTGGCAGTTGAGATCATTTGAGAACAATGGAAGATTTGGGAACTACTTTGAGAGAGATGGTTGCAGCATCGTTTGCAGCATCTTTTGTAGCTTTAGATACATAAAAAGCAGAGCATTGGAATATTACAAGAATTAAAAAAATTAGTGATCGATTAATGGGAGAAATGCTTGCAAAAGAGATTTCAGTCCTTTTTGTCATAGTAAATTAATTCTCTACCTTTAAGATTTTTAATCATTTCAGTAGTAGTTTTCTCTCACCTCCTGTCTTTTGCTGCAATTGGATAAGAAATACAGCATTATTGTGACTAGGTCTGAACTAGGAAAAACTTACTAACTATTCCCTCAATCACTTTTGTAGCACTTAAACGTACAAAGGCTCTTCTTGTTTTAACAGGTTATCATGACAATCACATTGTAATTCGGTGGTTCTGGGCTGCTGTGGAAAGATTCAACAATGAACAACGACTAAGACTTTTACAGGTAAGAAATCAGCTCATCTGTGTAGAAATAGTCTGCAGTGTTAAAATTAGATGCTAAACTATTTCCATCCAGGCTTATGACACCAAAAAAATTATGGTGATACTGCCTAATGGGACTAACCTTATAATCCTCAGAGACTTACTGTAATAATTCTAAGTGACTGAAGCTCACAGCTATTTTTATAGCTTTCTAAGCTAAAAATACATTTAAGATAAAATACCTGATGTCAATAATCTTTTACCATTGTTTGATTAAAAGTACATTAAGACTAGTAAAGATAGAAAAGGAAAACTGTGTAATTGGTTATATATTAGGTAGAAATTTTAATAACATTTGTACAGCTTAGGAAGGAGAAAGCCTCAAACTTCGGAAGTTAAAGTGCCTCAAAGTAGAAAATAATGATGAAAATCTGAAAATCAGTCCAATTCCATTTTCACTAAGTCAGCCTGCAGAATCCAGTCATCCTGCTGATGAAGGACAAAAACCTCTCAACAGAGGAATATTTATATATGTGGGTTTACTACTGAGTTAGATTTTTTTAAATTCAGGTTACCCTCACCCCAATCCATACTATGTCCTTGATTTATTATGGAGTCCACTGTTTTTAACAATTCAGAATTTGCATCTGAACGTTGAGTTACCTATATGACTATGATGAAGGATTTTCTTTCTTTATCTGTTTAAGTACTTAAAAAAGGTCTGTAAAAAGCAGTGTGGGACATCTCATTTGATGCAGAGCCAGAGGTGTCTGCTTATATGTTCCTATTGCGTCTGTAATCAAAAGTTTTTACCATATCCAGATCATTAAAAATTAAGTAGCCTCTGATCTGTCAAAAAACATGTTTGATTTGTCATGACAGGTTCTAACTAAATCTGCTCAACAGACAGCATTTCAGCAAATGTCAGTGGGCATTGTACCTAACCTTCAGAATGTAGTCCTTTTCTTACAGTATTTAATAATGGTTTATAAAGATACTGAAATCCACATAGCCAAAAAGGCATAACAGGAAGCTATTATCATACTTTATTACTTTTTTATTAGTTCCCCTTAATCTAGAATAAAGACAGTAGAGAAAAACTCACTTAGGCCTAAGTTTAAGTAACTTGATATTAATAGTGTTTTATTCCTCAGTATTTATGTAGCATAATTACTTTTTCAAAGAGAAACCTTTGAAGGAATTTAATCAGATTAAGTTGTCTCTTCTAGAAGCCCTATCAGGAAATGGTCTGTTTTCCCTTATCCTCCATTTAAAGTAGCATTTATTATTTGTGCCTCACAACTTTCCTTATTTTGCAAATGCTTTTACGTAAGCATTTGGACTTCAGTGGGTATTTCTAACCTGCACCATCTGCGTATCCAATATCCATAATGTTTTGTTTGTGCTGGCAGTTTGTTACAGGCACGTCCAGCATACCTTATGAAGGATTTGCCTCTCTACGGGGGAGCAATGGTCCAAGAAGGTTCTGCGTAGAGAAGTGGGGGAAGATCACTGCTCTTCCAAGGTACAACTGTGGTGTATTAATGCTAGAGATACTTTAGAATATCAGTTACCGGGATAACAGATAAGCTGTTTGAGAAACATAAGCAAGTTTTAACTGAATATGCAGATATACTGTGCCTTACATGAAAATTTCCTTCCCCGTTGTTCCAGTGTCTGATGCATCCGTTTTCTCAATTTTGTTCTCATAAGATGGACAAGGCAGTGCAACTGTGGCTGACATCCATATTGTAATGCTTTTTTCATGGAAAATTATATTAGAACGATATTTTGATTAGAATTTGATTTTGTTATATTTGATTAAATGTGCAAGTATTTACTTCCTGAACACGCAGTTCATCACTTAGGAGCACAAATTAATATGAATTAAAATTAAATAGCATTTGTGACTGTGTCTGAGTGAAAGCTAATACCAGACTTTTTGCATTAGACACACACAGCCTTTACAGTATAGTTTAGTGATGTAATTGTTATTCTCTGGCTGATGTCACGAGTGTTAACAAATACAGAAGAGGCAAGTTAGGAACTGCAGAAGAGGTGTATTCTGAGGAGGGGGTCATTTGACTTAAGAGGCAGCACAGGGACAAGAGAAGGTGAAGATTTCCAAGAGAACAAGTAGGGTCAACTGCAACATGTGAGGAGGGTAAAGGAACAGTATGAGAATCCAAGATGAAAGTAGGGGTTGAACTGTACAAGCCCTTCCAGACGAGGCAGCATTCAAATTGGGTCATGGCAGGTTTGGAGGAGTAGGATAAGAAGTTTAAAAAAAAAAAAGAAAGAAGTAGCTTTTCTAAATTTTCCATTTTGTAAAGACAGGAAAAAGAGTTGTTTTCAAAGGTCCATGGTAACAATACCAGGACTAGACTAATGACGTATGAGTGATGCAAGAAACATCTTCTAGCATGGATGCTTCATTGACAAAAAATGACAGGTTCTAGTCTTTTCGATATTGTGATCAGGCCGGTATGTTTCTGGAAGACTTTCTTTCATCCAATTCTATAATTCTGTAGCCTCTAGAATGGGTTAACAGTGGTTAGACATACAGATTAGTAGGCGGAGTGTGGGTGCACTAGCTCTGCTTAATCAGATCTCAGCTTTAGTATGCTGCTTGTAGCCTGTGGTGGTAGTTTTGGGCTGGGCTGACCCATGGAGGAAATTCAACCCTAATCCTAGCCCATTCCTCTTAAACAAGATTCCTCAGGAATAATTTGCATTCAGAGTCTCTTTTTAGACATAAGGCGGCTGTCAGACACCCAGAGAGTTCCTCTGACCAACAACCCTTAGCTTTTTCCTCCAGCATAAAGTCAGAGGCAGAGACATCTCTTGGGTTGGCTCCTGCCTGCAGGCTGCTATTTGAACAGCACTAAGAAACTCAAAAAGGCAGAAGTGGCACTGTGAAATCCACAGACACAGCAGGTGGCCTTTAAACAAAGCCATCTTGCCAGTTTACAGTACAAATGAGAACCAGGCAACTGAGGATTAAAGATAAGCAAATTCTGGAAATCGCTTTTCAGATCAAATATTCTAATATCTTTTGGGGGCCTAGTAAGACCTTGTACCCCAATAGGTCTACTTTATAGTGTGATTATGATTGACCTATGGACTAGCTTTGATTCAGTTTAATTTTTTTTTTTTTAAATTTTCTAAAAATAATTTCTGACTTCAAAATATAAGATCTTGTGAGTTTAAGTAAGAAAAGAGGTTGTGGGAGTTTTCCCGTATATTCTGTAATACTGGAATTCCTGGTGCTAACAAGCACAGCTTGCAGCATGGAAAAGGTCAGGACATGCCAGAACAGGATGCTCAGAATTCCCTCTGAAAAGGTTACACAGAGCCCTGGTTGTAATAAACTGCAGAATAAAACTGCTTGCTGGAGTGCAACATGGAGAAATGTGTCGAGAATCTTTGCTACTATAAGGTGTTCAGCAAGTGTAGGGGAAATGCCAACTCTTCACATTTAGGAGAATGTATCATGCCCTCGAAATTTCATTTATGATTCCCTTGGTTCGGAAACATTTGATTTTTGTCTCTGTGCGTAGTTTTTAACATACAAGTGTGAGAATTAAAATAAACCAACACCACACTTGTTTTGTTAAAATAAAAACAACTGCGTATGACAAATATCTACAGTTGTCATGAGCTGGCAATTCCTGGCATTCAGACATGGAACCTTGATCTCATAAAAAATAAATGATCTTACCTGTTTATGCTTAAATGGGCTAAGCCCTAAGCAGAAAGCAGTATTTGCATTTTTACATATCTAGTTCCTGCATGCAGTGTAGCTTCAGCCTGTGTCTCCCCAGCTTCAAAGACTTACTGTGCAAACACCAAGTAGTACTGGCTTGAAGGTAAGACATCGTTAACGACGACCCGGAGTAGCAAACTTTCAAGAGGTTTCCAAACAAGCCCTGCATGTGTAAGCACATTGCTGGATCTGTTGAGAATGCTGCCCTAGGACTCTGTGACTCTTACTGATTCTCAGATAACTAAAGCATTTGTGTTAAGGCACCATCACTCACTCATAGCAGTGTTGTACTTTGCAAATTGCTCTTTTGATTTCAGTGGGAGTGCTTGTGAAATTTGATAATACTGAGTGTGAGGGTGGCAAAAGCTAGGACTCAACAAGTCAGTGGACTTTATGTTTCTTCCTGTTTCTAAACTACTGCACTACTGAAAACACAGAATACCGTCCCCATCTCTTCTTCCTGAGTTTGAGACACAGAAGGTAACTAATATAGTTACTTAGGTATGTGACTGTGGTCTAAGCAGCTGTGAATGTAAACACAAAAGTACTCACTAGATGTTTACCTAGTTCCCACTGTTCTGACTGTACTCAGTTCTGCTGAATCAAAATAGTGAGATTTCTGTGAGGCGTGTGTCAGGTTGCCTAGCTTGTATCACTGTCTTTTACACTAACAAGTCAGTAGTATGTAAAAGGCCCTGAAAAGATTGATTATTACAGGTTTAGCTTAAATATTGCTATCCCTGATGCCACTTTGACTTCCTTCTTGCACACTGTGCTGTAGATTACACTAAATCAGCAGAGGGACTGTTGCTCTTTCAATTCACTTACATGCTGAGAAATTGGTTCCAGGCTCATTGCTGTACATTATATATCTGTGCATGTGATGATTCATATGCAAATAGTATTTATGTTTGACTGCTGGATTTTAAGCCTAAATCACTCTATTTTACTACTGTAATCAAAATGAAGGGGGTATTGATTGGGAATCCAGACTTCAGGAACCAAGGTGGTTTTTCATGTTGTCATAAAATGTGAGTCCAGGAAGATGAACAGTTAGTGCCCATGTGGTTTGAAATGTTGGAATGGGAAAATACTGTCCAGAGGAAAAAAAAAAACAAACCACTTTCTTCTTGAAGACTTAAAAGTTGCTTGCTAGGGTGAGAAAGGCATGCATCCCCTCAGAAAACAAAGATCGTAAGTTTTTCTCTGTTTTAATGACTTGGTTTTCCAAAGTAGGTGATTGCATTTTCGAAATTGCCCTCAAAATTAAGATAAAACTCAGTTCTCTTAATAAATGTAAACAACATGCCGGCTTACTCTTAAACCAGTTTGTAATGAATCCCTTGCTAATTATATAGTATGTCTTTTATAATTTGTGGTTTTACGGCCCACACAGTATGATCCATAGTTCTAATGAGTGGCTGTCAGCCCCATGCAGCAGAAGCATGTGGTTAGACTGTTAATTGCCTAAGACTCTTCCATACTCTACACTGAACTCAAGGGATCACTGAGTTCCAGTTGCCTGTTTGCTGCTGGGTTTAAATCAGTCTCTTTCTTCTAAAGGGAAATTTGTTTTCTTTTTCCTTTTTTTTTTTTAAAAAAAAAAAGCAGATAATGCAATAATAATTTAATCTGTATCACAGATAGTACTTTGTAAGGTTTTTGTAAAGGCAAACGAGGAGTACAAAGAAGGCTTTCCTCTAGGAGCCTCAGACGGATGGAAGGGTGGAGAGATTTTGCCAGGCCCCTGGAATACAGGGTGGGGAAATGCCCTCTCTGCTACACAGCATGTACTAGCAGTGTACTTCTAAGTGTTCTGTATTTGGGGAGGGTGCAAAATTCAATGCTTTTTTAAGTGATTGCGTATCTGGTGTTTGGACTGTGTTTATAGTCATAGTGTGACCTTCTGTACTGTGTATACATTTCTTCAGCCTGATATTTGTGTGACACTAAGGCTGTAACTAAGGGAGTGTTTCACCTTAAATGAGGGTTTGTAATGGACTCTTATGTTTTTAACAAATGAGATTAACCCACTTCACTTCATGTTCCATCCCCATTGTTGGGATCTGACAGCCACTTAAAACAGCAGTTAATGAGTTTGCTCCCATGGAAGGCAGCACTTTCTGGCGCAGAGAAAGCCCAGTACAGGTCTATTGTAGACACTCAAATTTCTGGGAGTGGTTAGGTTAAATGAGGAGTTGCATTTACTGCGAGGAGGGAGCTTGTTCAGTCCTTCCCTTGACGTTATGTTACACATTTACACTTAATACAAGTCATACTGATGAAGGGCAGGTCACTGCAGGAAAAGTTTGTTTTTCAGCTGGATTGTATTTAAATAACTCTGTGATGTGTTTTATTGCAAAAGAATAAAGTATTTGTAAACAGAGACCTGCCAAACTACAAAAACGTTTTCATCCTCTAAAATCGGTCTAAAGTAAGGCTTTGGTACAAAGCTTCAAAGCGAAAAAGATGGCTCCTCCAGCTTCGCTTTGCATCATTTCTTCCTCAAGAACCCATCGCATTAATAGTTATGCTATCTATTTCACTCAAGCAGGCTCATCCACTACAGTGTTTTAGAAAGCATTATCCGTAGCCTGCCCTGAGGCCAGGTAATGATATCCATTATTCTGCTAAGAGGAGAAACCTTTATTATCTCCCTTTTCGTTCCCTGGAAGAGGTTTCGAGAGTCAGTTCCAAGTCTGTCAAAAAACTGAAGTAGATGGACTTTGGAAACTGAGAAATAAACCACGTGGTTGTCCTCCTAAGAAAGCAGGATGGTATGCTAGAGGTACATGCATAGTTTCATGTAATTACAAAAAGTATTATTCTAAAGGTCATTGTCTTGCAGGGCCAGATACGTACATAGCATAAATCAGCACAAGCAGTAACTTCCCAAGAAACATGATCCATATGCCAAGGAAATATAGAAGGAAGAGCATCTAATTTGTTTGTCCGTTACTACTGTGGGATTATTTTCTGTATATCTAGAGTATTTTTTAATATTTCATCAAATCAAATATCTTACGCATATTCAATGGACTGAAGTATCTTGTTTATGATTACAAATACAGCATTCAAGTATCATCAGTCCAGAAAAAAATACTACTTCTCAGAAGATACATTTAAAGCCAAGATTTCAGAACAGACTACTTGAGTTGTACCATGTTATACCATTTTTCTACTGGCTTATTTTAATTAGAAAAAAAGTAGATTAAACCTGACTACCTGTTCAACTGGAAAACATCATTTGACAGAACAAGGTCTTCTGAAAGAATGCTATCTGCTCATCTCTACGCAAGCACATACCAGTCTGTGTGTTCTCTTTTGAACTTTTTAAATAATGTACTACTTCACCTCCTCTCTTTTTCTTC